AAGGACCGAGGCTACGCGGAGCTCGGGGCCGCTTCTCCCGGCGGAGCCCGGCTCCCCCGCGGCTCCTTTCCCCAAAGCCCCTCGGAAACTTGTGCCAAATGCCTCGCTCCATCCCCAGCGTGGGCACAGCTCCGGCCGGGCACAGCTGCCGGCGGCAGCCCGGCCCCGAGCCCGGCCTCACCCGCTCCCCGGCACCGCTGAGGCGGCGGGGCCGCTGCCCCATCCCCGCACGTCCCGCACGGCCTCCCCGCTCCGCACCGTGTACGTCTCCACCAGCTCAGAGCCCAGGACTCGGGCCTCCCGCGGGGGCTCCTCGCCGTCCTCGCCTCCCGCCGCCGACTCCATGTCGCCGGGAGAAGCGCCGGGGCGCAGCCGCTCAGGCCGTCACGGCTCCCCCGCGGCCGCCGCCACCCGCACCCGCCGTCCGCCCGGCCCGCACTGCCGCCGCCGCCATCTTGGTTCGCCCCCACTCAGGGCGTGGCGCGCTCCGCCCGCGCCTCTTTATGGGCACAGGGGCGGGGCCCGGCGCTAGGGGGCGGGGCTGAGCGGGGAAGGGCGGCGCTCGATTGCAGGGGCGGGGCGTGGTGCCGTCGGGGCGTGGCTATGGCCCGCGGGGGCGGAGTCCAGCCTATCCGGACGCGCATGCGCGCTGGCTGTGCCTGGGGGGCGTCGCGCAGTGCGGTGCAGTGCGATCCAATGGAGTCCAACAGAATCCAATGGAATCCAAGAAAATCCAATGGAGTCCGGCAGAATCCAGTCCAGTCCAATGGAGTCCAATGGAACCCAATGGAAAGCAGCAGAATCCAATCCAGTCCAATGGAGACCAGTGGAGTCCAACGGAATCCAATGGAATCAAATCCAGTCCAGTGGAGGCCAACAGAGTCCAATCCAGTCCAAAGCAATCCACTGCAATCCAGCGGAATCCAATGGAATCGAATTCAATCCAATGCAATCCAATGGAACAGAATCCAGTCCAATGCAATCCCATGGAAGTCAATGGAATGGAATCCAGTCCAATGCAATCCAATGGAATGGAATCCAATCCAATGGAAGCCAATGGAATAGAATCCAGTCCAATGCAATCCAATGGAATAGAACCCAACCCGATGCTGTCCAATTCAATACAATGCAATCCAGTACAATCCAGTGACTCCAACCCAGCCCAATCCAGTGCAATCCAGAGGGATGCAATCCCAGCAGTGCAGAGCTGCCAAGGGCTGAGCCCCCTTCCTGTGCTGTGGCTGTGACACTGTCCCAGCTGCTGGCAGCTCGTGGTGCACATCTGTGACCACCAAGGGCTGCTGGAGGCTTGGACACTGTCACACCAGGCTGAGGTGCCACCCCAGTGGTTCTGTGACTGAGCTGCCCACCCCAAAACAGAGCTGAGGAGCTGGGATGATTCACTCAGGAACGAGCCCAGGGTGAACTCAGGGTGTTGTTTGGGGTGATTTACTAACAGCATGGACTTTACTTTCACTGTCCCACTGAGCACGGGGAAGTGTTTCAAGCCTGTACACACTAAAGGATATTGCCAGGAATTTGTAACAGAAGTGGAGAATCTAAAAGATGGCAAGAAAACTCTCCTCAGCCTTCTCCCCTGAGCTGAACCTGAGTTGCCCTGAGGGAAAGTCATGCTATGGCAACCTTTCTGACAGGCTCAGTGTGCACCCCAGGAACAGAAAATTGCAGGAGAGAGGATATAATGAGTTTCTTTAGAAGTATCTGATTGTATTAAAATTGAGAGGTTATCTAGAAATATTATGTTTTGGCAGAAGGATGCATCAAGCATCCATCAAGGCTTTGAAATAAACTCTGTGCTACATTACACACAGAAGGATTAGGTTTTGGACTGTCAAATCAAGGAGATTTTGTTAAAAAGTACCTTCCAGCAAAATGAAAGCAGCATCTGTCTGCCCTACCTTATGCTACCTAAGAGAGGATGCAATTAGCTCAGTATGAATTACAACAGGAGTGCAAATGCCCTGGCTGGATGTGTGGGGCTGCAGGGGCAGTGCCGGTGTCTCAGATACCACCAGGACTGCAGTGGCAGATAAACAACCACACCTCTGCAAACAGAACTGGAAAAACCCATTTTGGGGGAGGGGTTTCACTGAAAAATGTTTTTCCTTGGTCAAGATGTAGCCAAAGGATGATGTGTACAAGGACAAAACACAGAGAGTACAAGCAGCCCAACAGGGATTTTCTAATGCTGCCCCAGCATCAGGAACTGCTGCTGGTTCAGCCTCTTCATGAGATAATAAGTGGGTTTGCAGAGCAACTTTAATTAAGCTTCCTCAGAATGTCCTGTCTCCTTAATTAAATAAAAATTTGCAGCCCTGTCGCGGCTGTCGGGTTTGATCAGGGCCCGTCTCCGCCTCCTGAAGCAGCTCCTGCCCGCAGGCACAGCGGTGGCTCAGGGTGTGACAGCCCCGTCCTGACCCACAGAGGAGAGAGCAATGCGCCTGGGGAAGGGGGAAATGGGGGCTCCTTCGGCTAAAATATTCTGAGTAGGCTTTAGGAAGCAGTAAATTAAAGAATTTTGCTGTTGCTGGGTTGGACTGTCTCTCAGGGCCAGGTGCCCAAGGCAGGGAAGGGGGATGCTGGAGCATTTTGCAGCAGTTTGGAGCCATGACAAACACAGCCAAAGGAGCCCTGCAAACACCCCTAATCTTAAATAAAATTGCAATTTAGTTAGGCTTATGCCTTTTATTTCTTATATTTGACCTCAAGAATGCCTCTGCTAGTTCTGCAGTGGGTTACAGCTGCTTGGAAGTGAGAACCTAAAATGAAGTTTTGGAGGAGAAAAGCTCAGTAAAGCTTCCCAGTTGTCTTGGCAGCTTGGAGGGACTGACAAGTGGGACAGCATGTGAGGATGCAGCTGGAGCTAACAGGCTGTGACTGACCTGTGACAGCCGTGGCAGATTAAAGGCACTGTGCTGGCAGCCCTCCCCAGGCTATAGATAGGCACCCTCCCTCTGCCATGGGGCTCCCATGGAAGCAGCAGGACAGGGTGGTTCCCTCAGAACACCCCATACCTGCAGCGGCCCCTCCCTGTGCTGTGCATGGCAGAGGCTCTGGGTTTCCCTGCAAAACCCCAATTCCCAGTTCTTTTGTAAGCAAACAGCCTGGGAGAGCCAGGAGATGTTGGAAGCTCTGTCTCCAGGCAGCCAGCAGGGAGGCAGGGGCTGGCATTGTGCCACTCGCCTGTGCCTCCTTCCCCGGCAGGAACATCACCTCCTCCTGCTGCCAGATGGGATTTCATCCTCTCCTCTGGCTCAGCTCTGCTCTGTAAGTCTCAGATGTGCAGCTTTCCCATGCCAGTGTAGGGTGGCAGTGGTCCAGATCTCCCCTCCCTAAGCACACAGAGACCCTTCCTCCACATCCCAGCCTGAATTTCACCCCAGCTCTCTCCAGCAGACCTTTTAAAGGCAATGTTGAGCCACCCCTCCTGTGCTACATTGACCCTAAATACATTCTGACGCATCCCAGGGGCTGTTTTCAGGGTGACTCAGAGCCATCCCTTTCCAGGATGGAGGGACAGGGCCAGGCAGGATTCCTCAGCCCCTGTCCTGGTAGTGCCCGGAGCTGGCACCTGCCACCCCACTGTCTCTGCAGTGAATCCCAAGGCCAGAGAAGCAGCCAGGGGCTGGGGTTTGCCTCGGGGCAGCATTTCCTTGGGAAGGTCTCTCTGGGGTGGCCCAGGAGGATTTGGGTGGTGGTTTGGTTCTGGGGAACAGCAGGTCTCCCATCCCAGCCTGTGCCCTCACCTAAGAGCAGGCTCCAATGCCCTTTAGCAAAATAACTGCTTCCCTCTTCTGATTTTTCTGACTTTCCTGTGATAAAGGCAACCAAAATATAAATACATTCAAATTAGGAAGACTAACTTCTTTAAAAAACCAATTCCTTAAATGTAACAATTTTCCTTTTTATTCCATCTGCTACCCCTATGCTGAGCAGAGGCAGGGCTGGGCTGAAGCCTGGGTGCCCACAGGACCACAGTTCCTATCAGCCTCTGCAGTGAGTTAATCCTTCAGGACTCAGAACCTCGGGGGATGTGATGTGGGGATGGCTTTGTGCTCACCTGCATCTCCTCTTTGTGCTGACACCACCTGGTTAATGCTGCTTTGGCTTGGGCATTCCATGGGGACTGCAGGTTTATGCAGCACGATTCCTCTTAAAGGTGGATTTGTAGAAAAGTAGAAAAATAACAGTTGTATTAATTGTATTTTTAGTTTTGCAAACTAACTCTGACATGAGCCAGCTGGAGGTGAGACTTTGCCACCCTGTGGTGCCAGAGCCATCTGTAGTCCCTCTGGACACAAGAGGGAGTCCTGAATCATTTAAAAAGAGAGGTTTATCTTTGGTTCCTGTGGATTAAAACACTTCTCACAGCACTGAGAAAACTGCTCATCCCTCAGAGGTCTTTGGTGCGTTTTGCTCTGCACCGTGACAGTGTAAATCTGTGGTAAATCCACAGTCAATCCAGGAGTGTGGATTTGAACTATTTGCAGTGGGGACGGGTCAGCGAGCTGGCTGGGTGAAGTGAGTCATGATTTCCCAAACTGACTGATTCCATTATCCCTGGAATCAAACAGAGCTGATACCCCCCTTTTGGTGGCTGGTCCCCACATTTTGCAGCCCTAGCTGAAAACAGAAGACTGGGGCAAAGCTCCGTGTGTGTCTCCATGGCAATGGGGCTACACATTCCCCCCATGCTCCTGGTCTGCTCTCACACATCCATCCCCTGCTCCCCCAGAGCCCCAGCTGCAGGTCCCCATGGATTTGGGGACACACAGAGGGGACCAGGGGCCCTGACACCCCCTGTTCCCACCGCCCCGGGGGACATTTTCTACTAGACAGGGATATTTTGGGACATGTACCTTTCCTGCAATACCCAATCCTATTTGGCACAGTATAATCTTTCTAAGGCAGCTCCCAGGGGGAACACGCTGGAGGTGGAGGTGACACCATGGCATGGCTCCAGCCAGGAAAGCCAAGAGCCTTAATTTATCAGCACTTTCGGTGGGTCTTGCTGAAAAGTGGTGCCTTGATCCCACAACACAGTCACGAGGAGAGCTCCAGCTGCCGCCGAGGGGGCTGGGGCCGGGGCTGGGGCTGTCCCCGGACGTGCCAGCACCGGGCTGGCCGTGTCCCCGTCCCCAGGCACGCGGGCCGGGCATTCCTGGGGGGCCGGGCGTGCGGGGCTGCCGGGGCCGGCCCCAGCCCCCTATATCAGCCCTGCCCCAGCCCCTATATCAGCCCTGCCCCCGGCAGCGCCGGCACAGTGACAGCGACAGACCCTGCCCCTGCCCAGCCATGGATGACATCTACAAGGCAGCGGTGAGTGCTCCCCCTGGGACGCTGGGCTGGGGAGGGGGTCTGAAATGGATTGAAGGATTTTTGTTGGGTCTGAAATGCATCTAAAGATTTTTGTTATAGGTTCCCCAAAGCTGCAATGGCAATAATTCAGTGGAGAAATGGAAATGAGAAATAATTATAGGGCAGCAACTTTTAGTCAACATCCTCATCCAGGGCACTGACCTTCCCTCTCATGGCTCTGGAAGTTTCACACTCCTCTTACAAGTGTGAAACTGTCAACCTGCTGTTAAATTACTTACAATGACCCCCTGGTTCCCCGCTGTAAAGCAGGGAGATGGCTCCTAGGTGAAGTTATAAATCTCAATAAAACCTGCACGGCATAAGAGATGACTCTTGGTTTTAGCCCAGACAAAGCAGAGGAGGATTTCCCAGGAAAGAAACATTATTTGTATGGGTTCAAACTCACCCTTTTCTTTCTGGTGCTTTACAACTCTGCCATTGCTATGTTCCCCCACTCCTTAGCTGAATATTTTTCAGGGTGATTGTAAAAAACCCTTGGTTTTTCCTCAGTTCTTTCCAAACCTCCTGCTCTCCTTTGCTGCTCCTGCTCTGTGCAGAATCCAGAATGTGAGCTATGCCCTGGGGAACGTGGAGCATCCTTTGGCTATTTTAACTTCCACAGCTGCAGGCTGCGCTCATTGTGTAAACCCAAACTATTTGGTCTGTAATAAGAACTCTGCATTGATCTGTAATGCAGACAGACAGAGATGTGCAAGTGGAATAAGGATGAAAATAGATTCTGGATTGTGTGGATTGCTATTGCATCCATAACTGGATTTATAGTAAGAGGTTTTTGGTGCTTTTCCCCCTTTAAATATACAGCTGATCAAGTTTGATTTTAAGCAAGAGCACAAAAAATGCATCATACCAGTCTTATTGTTATGCCAAGGTTTTTAGAGGGAAGAAATATAGTCCTTGGTAGGTAACTGAAGGAAAAACCCCCAATGCTCACACATCTCCTGTCCTTTGGTCAACCTTGAACCTCGGAAATGGAACCCCTGTAGTGATCCTGATAGTGTGAAAAGGTTCAGGAAAGGCTGAGTCCCCCAACCAACATCTTCAAAATGGAGAAAAATGGAACCTGTAAAATCAAAGGAAATCCAAGCCTTTCTAATTAAAGTTTTTAATTAAATAATCTCTCTGTGACTCAAGGCACAGGCTCTTTCCTCATTGTATAGGGACCACATAGCCATTAATTAGGTAAATGCAGGGTTTGAGTCCTGGGCATTTACTCCCAACAGCTTTACAGAGGCAAAACAAGTCCAAGACAGGCTCAGCTGAGATAGACAGCTTGTTTGTGTATCTAATTCCCAAAATTTAGACTGACAACATTTAGCTGTGGAAAAAATTAAGAGCCTCAGCTTCATCTGTCTGACTTCAAACAGAACCATGGGATGGAGAGAGGAGCTGATAAAAGCAAAATACAGCAGATCCGGCATTATCACAGCAGTGCTGTGAGCTTAGAGCTTGCCTTCCCACACTGCAGAAAAACCTGTTCCTGGAATGATGTGGAGATAAAAGATGAATAAGGCAGCAACAGCACCCATATCCAGAGCAAACTATGAACAGCTCAAGAGACATTTCTGTGACAAAAATGCCACTCTATAGCAACAATGCATTTAATTTATATACACCACATCTATCACTTCAGTACTCAAGGAGGCTTCAAAACAGAATAGTTGTATATTTTCTGCATGTTGATAGCATCTATTAATATTACATTTATGCCAAATCCTCTACATACAGCCAGAGAACCCAATGGATTTTCATCTTACCCACTCATGCCTAGATAAGGGTGTGCAAACACAAAACTATTTTGGGAATATTTTTAGGCTCTGTTAAGCGGTGCCTAGAACAGTGCCAGGGACAAGTGTCCAGATAAAGGGCTGCAAGGATAAATACCAAAGCCTGGGAACAATCAGGGAGCTCATCTTTATCTCCAGCACCTCTCTCCCCCAGGCTTATAAATAGCGACTGCACCAGGGGTGTCGTGTTACAGAGCAGGACTGGCTGCGGCCATCCTGGTGGTGGCTGCCCTTGCTCTGCCCAAAAACTGTCTACAGAGGGCCAGCAGCTGCCTGCCTGCCTTCAGCAGCACCAGAAACACACTGGGTTTGGCTTTCCTCCAGCAGAGGAGAAAAATCCTGCCACCATCCTTAGTACTTTCTGCCAAGTCCTCACCTCCTGGAGCATGGGGAGTGGGATAAAATGCTCTGCCCGCCCCCACAGGCTCTGTCCTGCTAAGGAAAAGTGCTTTCTCTGCCTCTTGCTGCAAGCAAGAAGAACCAGCAGCTGGCTCTTGCAAAACCATTGCCCTTTGGGGCAAAAGAATCAGCTTTCACTCAAAGACTCAACCTGGGTTATGGGGTCCTGCCCCAAACAAAACTTGGCAGGGATGGGTGCTGGGGCCACTGGCATGGGGTGGCAGCAAGGAGATTTTAGTGGGGTCAGACAGGGCAGCCATGGGTTCTACCTGGCTGGATATAGAGAGGCTGTTGACCAGCATAGGAAGGAAAAGTTGATGTTCTCATGGATGCTTCCAAAGGGGCAATTGGACATGGTGGTGAGGGCAGCAAGTTCAGCTAGGCAGGACCTGGAATGAAGCCAAAGAGAGAAAGGCACTTAAACAGGTATGGCACAGAGCTGATTGATTCCCCCTTGCTCTCCTTATTGATTATTTTCATTAATTCTTCCTATCTAGTAAGCTCCCACTGATGGTTTGTGGGGATTCAGTTAGGGCAGAATTTGGGAACAGTCTGCCAGCCCATGCCAGCTAATGCCTGTTGGCTCCACAGGCCATTCCTCAGAGATTCCCAAAACAGAATAAAGGGAATAGCAGCTCCCTTCAGAGCCAGACACCTTTGTAAGAACCCTGGCTGAGATGGAAGCAGAGCGGTTAAGCTCTGGACAGGGCAGCAGTTTCCTGAATCTAGGCCTGAAAATCAACTGCCAGGGATAGTCTTGTGTACCTCTCCCTCCCCAGGGAACTCCCCAGAGCACATCTCAATTCTGATCTGGCATTGGCCCACATGTGAGCAGCCCTCAGCAGTGCAGCCATCCTGCAGTGAAAGCTGCCACAACAAGAATTATCCCCAAATGGTTGACAGAGGCATATTCTTTTCCCAGTGGGCTTTCCCTGCTTGTACAAAAGCTATTTCTGCCATGTATTAGCATGTACAACTCTAGAGAAGTTATGTTTTCTTCAAAGGAGATGTGAATAATTTTTTTAAAGGGGAGAATGTCTTAGACTCCAAAATCTTGCTGTGTCAAACCCCTCTGGCTGTACATTCCCTGATCCATGAGGTTGCCTCTTGTGAGGTTTGGTTGACCCTGGCAAAGGCTGTTGAACAAACAACATGTCCTTTCAGCAATTAGTGATGCTGACAAAATTAAATTGACTTGGTGTCTGTGTTTTCCTTACAGGTTGAGCAGCTGACAGAAGAGCAAAAAAATGGTAGGTGCACCTTCAACCTGACACCACAGTCTGAAGTGGAGCTCCCAGGCATCAACCCTGCCTGCCTCCCAAGAGCACTCTGGAAAATGCTTCGGCCAGACTGGCCAAGGCAGGGCATGGCCCAGGGATTTTGATCCACCAGCACTGCTGGCAAGGCAGTTTTGGTGTCCCACAAGGCCATGGCTGGGCAGTGCTGGGTGCACAGTCAGGGAGGGCTGTGCCTGGGATGAGCCCCTGCCTGCAGGCTCCAGCTGCAGGGCAGGACCCCCTCACCTCTCCTGTCCCCTCTCTCTCCAGAGTTCAAGGCTGCCTTTGACATCTTCGTGCTGGGGGCAGAGGATGGCTGCATCAGCACCAAGGAGCTGGGGAAGGTGATGAGGATGCTGGGGCAGAACCCCACCCCTGAGGAGCTGCAGGAGATGATAGATGAGGTGGATGAAGATGGTGAGAAGTTTGGGTTTCTTCCACTCTCCCAGGAACCATCCCCACATCTAGGGGTGTGGGGCCATCTGTGCAGTGCTGGGGACAGTCACAGCTGTGGGGTGCAGCCTGCTGTGAATTCAAAGGACACTAAACACTCACCAGACCTCTGCATGGCTCCTTTATGGAATTTCCAGGCAAAGAGGAACTATAGAAATTTTTATTCCTACAGCGATCAAGACTGCTTGAACTGATTTTGGGGGGCACTGTGAAATTGTACAGATCCTTTTAAAAAACCAAATATAGGCTGAATGTAGGAACAGCCATTTCAGAAATGCCACTTAGAGGATTTGATCAGGAAAGTCTCTCACTGCTCAAGTGTACACACCCCCACATAACTAACTGTCAATACTGATTCAATCAGTGAACTGATGATCACATATAAAACCCACTGTGGGCATTTGGGCAGAAATACCACACTAAGCAACTGGAAAATAAAAAAGCAGTTAAAAATCAGGCAAAAAAGGAAAGCATCTGAGTAATTGAAAACAACACTACTGTAGTGCAAGTGCAAAAGCACACTGCATGAATACCTTCTGGAGCTTTCAATATTAATACCTAAAAGAGATGGACAGGTATCTCCATAGCAGGAACTTCCATCCTTTGGTGCTGCCAGAAGGACTTTTGCCAAGGCAAAATGACTGTGAAAAGTAAAAATTCACTTACAAGGTCAGAGAAAGGCCTAAGTCACTTTTTCCAGCATCCTGAGAGCTGACTCTTGCTGCAGGGCTGCTCTCCTGAGTTTTGGCCCTTGGTTGCTGAAGGGAAGGGTGATCCCTCATTGGCATTGCCCATCCACCCCCTGTAGCTCCAGCTGATGGCTCCAGCTGGGCTCCCCTTTCCTGCATTCCTCAAGCCCAGTATGAGAAGAGACTGAGGCATGAGACCTTGTATATTCTTCCAGTTTGACTTGTAGAGACACTGTCTGATGGCAGTCTTGATTTTTAACTTAAACAATAACAGATTTAACACCATGACTTAAGGTTTTGGGGTTCTGAATTCATGAGGCTGTGCAGGGAAGGTGGGTGGGTCAGTCTGGTGGAGCTGCTCATGAAGTGTGGGGCTCAGTCAGGGTCCCAGTGCTGGCCAGCTGGCCCCAGACAGTCCATTCTCCCCTCAGGCAGCGGCACCGTGGACTTCGATGAGTTCCTGGTGATGATGGTGCGGTGTATGAAAGACGACAGCAAAGGAAAAACCGAGGAGGAGCTCTCAGACCTCTTCAGGATGTTTGATAAGTAAGAGCCATGAGCACAGTGGGGTGGGGTGGTGGGAGGGTGCAGCCAGCCTGGGCCCCTCCCCAGCAGCTCTGTCTGGTCCTGAGCTCTTCTGTCCTGGCACAGAAATGCTGATGGCTACATCGACCTTGAGGAGCTGAAGATCATGCTGCAGGCAACAGGAGAGACCATCACTGAGGATGACATAGAGGAACTGATGAAAGATGGGGATAAAAACAACGATGGCAGGATTGACTATGATGGTAGGACTCTCTTGCATGTGGTTTGGTCACAAGCCCTTGGCCATGCCCCTGGGCAGCTCCCTTGCTCTTGGCTGCTTTCTTGAATGAGCACGAGCTCATGCAGGCAGTGCTGGGCAATACATCTGACATGAGCATGTGCACAGGGATGGGGGGTTCTTACACCTGTGAAATGCGAGCAAGGACCTGGGGCTGCCTTACCTGTCCCCTTGTTACACTGAAGCACTGCCACTTTTCACCAGTCCCCTCCTGCCCCCATTAACACCAGCACCACTTCTGAAGGGCTGTATCTTTGAATGTGGTGCTGAAAAAATGATGCCCAGACCATGTGGTGGCAGCTGAGGGGGATGCTGGGCTCCAGTGACATTTCCAGCAGGAGTCACAAGGAGTCCTTGCCACAGTCGAGGAGCAGTAGCCATCCCCCCCTTGGCCTCTCACATATCGTGAGGGTGGAACAGGAGACAGGGCTGGGAAAAGCTGCCAAGAGCGCACTTGACAGCTGGGAGGGCACTTCAGTCTCACCTCACACCTCTTGTCTCCAATGTCTTCCCCTTGGCAGAGTTCCTGGAGTTTATGAAGGGGGTTGAATAAATCTGAGGCCAGATGGACAGCTTGAATCTCCTAAACCCTCCAGCTCTGCATCTCATCTCCTTGACTCAGTCCCCTGGCTACCAGCATGAAGACTGAGTGCTGAGAAGGGTGGCCAGGGGGAAATAAAACCTGTTAATACCCAGTGCCTCAGCTGCTCATTCCTTGGAGGTTCAGTGACAGCTTCACCCCTGTTGTGTGCTCATGATTAATGAAACCACTGCTGGGGGCTACTTCTGGCAAGGTGACATCACATCTGGAGCTTCAAGCCTCCAAGGAGGTGTTGTGCTGCCAGCCCAACAGCAAAGTCCATCCAACAGAGCCATGGGTGCTCGTGGGGAGCTGCCATGTTCCATCTCCTAACTCTCCCATGGTGAGCAGGCTCAGGAGCTGGCACTGGTGCCTGCTGGATTAACTGCAGCATTGGCAGCATTTTAGCAATGAAATAAGAATTAAAACCCCCTTCAGCCATCACTGAGATCCATGTGCCAGGGACAGTCCCTCTCCTCTCTACTTTCACCCTGGCTATCCCAAGGGTACCCCTCCTCCTCCCTGCCAGCCTGACTGGCACCCTGTAATGCCCAAAGAAGACCTCACTTTGCTTTGGAAACATGAATAAAAGCCATTCCTGAGCTGGACTGGATGCTCCTTCCTGTCTCTCCCAGCCTGGTGGGAGGCAGGTACTGGCCCCTCATAGTCCTCCTGCAGCCCTGGGTGGGAGCCTCACTACAAAAAATGAGCCCCCCAATTTTCCCTGTCAAATCACATCGATCTGGGCCACTGAGAAATGCACAAGCCCACTCTGGGTCTCAGCTCCCAGGCACAGGGTGACAGAAGGGCCAAGGAGCCACAGCAGTGTCTCCTCTCACCCCAAGGAAGTGCAGCATTCCTGTGGCATTAGCAGCTCTCCCTGCACATAGCTGCCTCCTCCCATTGAATTACAGCCCCAGCACAACTCCCACATTGCAGTCATGTTGCTAAAGTCAATCGTTTACCCAAGCAAAACAAACATTGGCAGGGCAGGCATGGGACAGTGCAGGTGCAAGCCCGGGCAGTGCTGCCCTCAGCCCTGGCCTGGGCCAGTGCTCCAGCTCTGCTGCTTTCCTTCTGCCTTTCCTCCCCAAACCAGATTTATTTTTTCCCCACTTCTGTGGAAATAACACCCTAAAGCAGCTGTGACACAATCTCATTTATAGCAATGATGAAATACTGCAGTTCAGGGAAACCAGGGATGAGAGAGGTGGTTGATTGTTTGCAAGGATATGGCTGTGTCTTTCCTCTGGACAAGCAGCACCAAATATTTTGCTAAACCAAGGCTTATAACAACAGAAAAACTAAGAAAATTAACCTGTCAGCTAGAAACCTAGAGTATTTTGGAAACAGCTCTAATGCAAACATCTCTTTGGCCCACTCAAAGGGGTCTCCCCAAGGGATCCAAGCCCCTGATGCCATAGATACTGCAGGTTCAGCAGGACTACAGGTGCACCAGAAGGCAATGGAAATATGGGTCTGAGAACCCTGTGACAGGAAATGCTCCCAGGTGTTAACAGATTCCGTTTCCAGCTAATCTGTAGCCTAGAGATGAAACATTTTCCACCTCTGCAGTGTAGCAGCAGCAGTTGTTTCCCACCTGTGAGGACACAGCATGTCCTCATGTTTTACCTCAGGCCTGGGAACCTCCAGAGTTGCCAAGAGCTGGGGGTCAGCCAGGAGCTGAGGTGATGCCAGCTGTCCCCACACCCATGGCCACCCACCCCACGGGCAACCCTCACCTGCACTCACATCACATCAGGCACCACTGACAGCCCCTTTATCTTCCTCTGTCCTGGCCAAATCCCAGCATACAAAAAGGACTTCAAAATATTCCTCACTGCTTACTGTTAGGCTTTGGGTCCCTGGAGGGTGAACAAGAGAGAAAATAAGGTTAACCCCTTTCCTTCAGTCAGCTTGGTAGCTTGGACTGTGCTGTGACCCAGGGAAAAGGATGGCTGGGAAGAGCCACCTGGCCCTGTGTCTGGGCTCTTCCCCCTTGGCTCAATGGCACTGGCAGCAGAAAGCCACAGCCTCACCTGCTGCCCACCCTTTTCCAAGAGGGAAAGTGGTGACTGGAGAGAGAAGACAAAGGTTTTGTAGCAGCCAAAATTTGTCACTAGAAAAGGAGATATATTGAGACTATTTAGGCTTTTCCCATCCTTAGAACAGGAGGTTGGGAAGCCAGGAAAACTGTTGCCAGGCTGGCCTGCCCTAACACAGTGCCTGTCCTCCAGTCAGACAGCAAATGCTGCAGGGTGAGGAGCTGTGGGTGGATTCACTGCTGGCTAAAACACAGGAACAACTGCACAAGGAACGTAACACGACATGACAGGCCAGAGAGTGGGTGAGCAGGATGAAAAAACAGTGCCCCTGGAGGATCAGCCTGGCTGAGCCCCCACACAGGGATGTGCTAACAGTGAATGAAAACCACCCAGAGGAATCCATGGATCTGTGCAACTCCAAACCAGTTCACAGTTTTCAGTGCACGTGTAGTGAACTTCTGGTGCACAAAAACATTTGAGAAATGTGACACAAGTCCACATTGTCTGGGGAAAAAAAAGCAATTAACTTTTTTTTTTTTTTTTTAATCAGGCAAAAAGTAATTTATGAGTGTCTAAAACAGTCCCTAGATCTGTGTGCTCTTACCTCCCCAGCAGAGATGGGAGCTGTGCAGGCAGGTGACAGCAGCCCATGCCACTGGACACTGCCACAGCTCTCAGGCCATTTATATGCTCGCCTTTGCTGTAGATTTAAACTCCTGCCCTGGTTTGCAGTTTTATCAGTGTATTTGGGGCCTCTCCTCAGCCCTCAATAAAACTTTGCTGTGTGAACCAAGTGACTGCAGGAAGCTCAGATGAAATTTTGTACTCACTGCCCTAATAAAACCTCTGCCTAAATCTGCTAGCAGGGCAGTGGCAGTGTAACATGAGCTAAGGTATGTCAGATAAACACCTCACCAAGCCAAAGCCCCTGTGGTGTAGAAACACCTGCAACAGCCTTGAAACCTGGGCAAAGCAGAACATGTGTTCTGTTGCTGCTTCTTTTTGACCACACTATTGAAAGGCAGTAAAGGGGGACACAGCAACATGGGTCCAGCCCTACTTTTTGTCATCACTGTGAACATCAATGTCCCCAGTGAACACCTTGCTCCATCAGAGCATTTTGCAGGGCTTTGATTCCCCCCCATCCCAGTTCCGTGCTCTTGGCTTTCACAGCAATGGCTCACCTCTGCCAAATGAGATGATTTGGGATTTGGTTACACGCCCTTTGCCTTTTTTCTTTTTAAAGTCAAAGCAGAGAAAGGAGCCAAACTGGAACCTGATACTGAGTCCTCTTAATTGCAAAAGGGAGAAATAACCTGCAGCAAGTATGACATACAGCAGCAGTGAGCATGAGATGTATAAGTTGATGTACAGCAGTTGTTAAGCATTGAGATGCTTTTGAGCTCTTTGCAGAATACCAAACACTTCATCACGAGAGTTTTGCAGTTTTCAAATGTCAAAGATGAGAGAGCTCTGTGTAATAGGAATAGTTTCAAGGGGGCCACAGCTGCTGGTCCCCCCTCCTGGGCTCTGTATACGTAATGCCCCCAAAAAGGATCTCCAACCCCACTTCACCAACAGGACTCACATGATTTCACAGGGCCAGAGAAAGAGGATGGAGACCCACCCGGAGGCAGAGCCAGCACAAACTCCCCTGCACAGTCTCCCCCTTTGGGGCTGGGGTGACTGTACAAAGAGGAGAGCTGTGAACACAGGTGTCAGGGTTAGCACATGCAGCAGGTGGTCACTGATGTCCAGGCAGCGTCCTGCAGAGCCACCACATGAGCACGGAGCACACAACAACAAACCTGACACCTGTGGAAGCTCACAGAATTCCTGTCTCTTGCTACACAATGATGCCTGGATTAAGGTTACGTTCCTCTGGGCTGCATTTTGTCACGCAGCCGCTATTTTGGTCAGAAAGTCAGCAAGGCCTTATTTGGGAAGCTGTCCCACTGAAGGGCAGCATGAAGGGCAGCGAGATGAAAAGGCTGCTCTGAAGGCAGGCCTGGGGGAGCTGCCTGGACCCACAGGAAACCCAAATCTTGCCCTCTGCTTCTCCTTAACATTCCAACATCTTCTTCTCAGCCTGACCCTTGCCTCTCTCTTCCCTCAGACTGCATCTTGCGGGTGAGCTACTCACAACACAAGCAATCTGGGGAACACATCAAGGGGACTGAGATGAAATTTCCCATCTTTCCTTTTTCTTACAGAAAAGTTTTAGTGCTAGAGATTTAAAATGCACAACTTACACTGGGTAGAAAATCTGCAGACACACAGGTAAAGGTGTAGACTGACAAACACCAAGTGCTCTGTTCAGAGGTTTTTTCCTGAAACTCTTTTAACACACATCTACACCAGACTGACCACACTGACCCTCGCTGGACCAGCCACTCCCATCTCCTTCAGTACCAGCAACAATTCCACTCTGTGTGCCCTAATCATCTAGCAAGCAGTGAAGTGAACCTTGCAATGAACTCTATCATGCTGTTGCTCAATATTAAATCTGTTTTTTTACTGATACCTTTGCTGGTGATCCTTTAAGCTCCTCAAACACTTGTTTGTAACAGGCTGACAAACACCAATCTCCACAAAAGCCCAAGAGATCCACAGAGCAGGAATCAGATAACTAAGGGCTACAGACATCCCTGACTTTACAACCCCCTTGACTTGTGAGTTTCAGATTAGTAAATCTCTTTATATTGATTTGTTTAGGGGTGGGTGGGTTTTCTGTATCAGTCAAAAACAATTAAAAAGTGGGAACTGGGAGAAAATTTTTGAATTTAAGCCAGAAAGAATTCAAATTAACACAAATAATTTTGGTAACTGGCCAAACTATTAAAAAAATAAATTACATGGATTGGATGTTCTAGTTAAAATTGATTTTTATCCTGCAAGTGTTTGCTGCTCTGCTGCAGTCAGGTCCGTGTGAACATCAAGCCTCGGTGTGCTCTGCTGATTTACCCCACCGGGTGGACACGCACAGGAACTGCAATCTCAGAGCAGCCGGCTGCATTCCAGTAGGTGCCTCATGCCAAAAGTGCAAAGCTCGGCCTGAGCCAGCGTTGGGGGAGCCCTGGAGAGTGAAGTTCTTTCCTGATGTACAAAACAGCAGGACCAAAACCAGGGCTCACGGAATTTCACACGTTATCCCCTCATCTCCCCAAGCCAGCACATTTCATCACAGTACTTTTGTTACTGGAGTGATTCCCTAAAATCAGTCACTATTAAAAAATGTGCATTTTGTATATTCCCAAACCCTTACACGTTCCCATGGGTAGCTCCATTAATGCTTCAATATCTGCAAGTATTTCAGGACACAACACACACCAACTCCAGCACAAACTCCTGTGGTCTCAAGCACCACAGCCAGCACTCCCTCCCCTCCTATTTCCCTGGATTCCCACAGCTGCAGGGAACCACACAGCAAAGCAGCAGACATGTAACAGCCCTTGGAAATTTCACCTTGTTGTAACAGCACCAGGAATTATCACTGAACTCATGGTACCCGAGAAAGAAAATGTCAGCCCAGTTTCCAAAAGCACAAGGAGGAGCCAGGGACCTGCAAGCCAGTCAGGCTCCCCTGGATCACTACTCACAGGCTTGATGCACAGCTGGCAGCTAAAATACAGCTCAAACAAGGCCTCTCCTGAAATTCAGGAGGTGAAGGCTTTGTTACATACAATTTTATTTTAAAAAATGTTGTAACACACATGCCAGTAAGAAAACTGGGTCTTCTGGTTAAAGCACATCAGTCCTTTTTCTGCTGAGCAGCCTGCTGAGCTGCCTGCTTGGCATTGTTGGCCTGCATCTTCTTCAGCCCCTTCTTGTTGTGCTTCTTTGCAAATCTCATGTTCCTCAGAAACTTGGGATCAACCTATAAAAATAAAGGAAAAATAAGCCATGTTGCAGAGGAGACATATCTAAAAACATTTGTGGCTCCAATTATTCCCAAATGCAGGCTGTGACTAGTTCACACTTCTTTTCTGATTTTTCAACAAGATTATTTTAGTCATCTGCAAACAGGCTTTAATATCCATTTTCCTTAATCACCATAAACAAACAAAAAATCCCAAACCCCATCAATAAACATAAAGAAAAAACAGGATGGGCAAAGCTGCAGGAGAGGCAGGACTGAACCCTCACTGAGCTCCGCAGAAGACAAATTTTTACATCACTTCTAAAAAGCTTTGTAGACTGTGACATCTACAAAACAAATAAAATCATAACCCTCCCCTGACAAATTTACTGTTTTCACTTTCAAGTGTGGAAAAAGATCCTGTTGTACCATTTGAATTATCTCAAAAAGCAATATACTGTCACTTCCATGTGTTTTGCCCAGAAATGACAATTCCTCTTATTTTGTAAGTGAAATTATCTGGATTAGTATAAACAGTAAAACAATATTGAAGGAGAGACAAGAGGAGGAGAGGAGGAGAAGACCCAGCAGGACTCAAAAGGCAAAGGAACCATTTAACTGGAAAGTGTTTGTTTTACTGGAAACAGCACTCAATGACAGCCACCAGAACAGGACAGGGACAAAACTGACTAAAATTCAGTTTTATAGACATACAAGGGCAGATTTCATGTGGGTCAGAAATATCCCAGCTGCATGTCAGTCAAGTGAAAGAACTGAACCCCACAGTGGTTCTGACCCCCTGCAACACAAGCATGTCTCCAAAAAAAGTGTCAGTCAAAAAATACAAATTCTGGGTTTTTTTCCACCGTTAAGCCTCAGTGACTCAACAGCCTGGGAATATCAGCAGAAATACTCACCCCTTTGAGAGATTCATATCTATGGGTTTTGGGCTTCTTGATGCCATTTCTGTGCCACTTGCGGGCTGTGTGGAAAACAAGACAATTACTTAAATTCCAGTTTCTGCTATTATTTAGCAGCTGCATTAGTTTCCTTTTTAAGTGTACCTGACTATCAAAGTGATGTGGAATAGACAATTTCCAGACCCTTCCTATCCAAACTACACTTCAATTAAAACCATATCTCTATGCTCATCCCTTTGCATGGGCTTCCAATCCAAAGATTTCAGGCAGCTCATTATCTAATGACACCCTGACAGCACCACGTCACTGTCACTCACTAATAAACTGAAGCCCTTGTGGTCAGTATCACAGGGCACTGTCACTCACTGTGCAGGACCAAGCAGAGCCCATCTGTGACCTCTGCTAATCACAGCACTGATGAAAGACCCCAGCCATGAACTATTTCATCACTATGGCCATCTCTGGATTGCACAGGATCCCAGGGATGAAGCTTTTCAGGAACATCACACAATGACAGGATGGCTTGAGTTGGAAATAACTTTAAGGACCATCCTGTTCCACCCTCTGCCAAAGGCAAGGACATCTCTCACCAGACCAAGCTGCTCCAAGCCCTCTCCCTGGACACTTCCAAGGATGGAGAAGCCACAGCTTGTTTGGGCAACCTGTGTCATCATCCTCACAGGGAAGCATTTCTTCCTAATATCCAACCCAAGCCTACTCTGTCAGTGTGAAGCCATTCCCCTGTGTCCTGCCACTGCCTGCTCTTGTGAAAGGTCCCTCTGCCTGCTTAGCTGATGGTGACCACCATGGCATCACTCAGGTTGGAAAAGGCCTCTGAGATCTGAGTCCACCATCACCACCCAGCCAACTCAACTAAGGCACGTTCAGCCTTTCTCTGGACACCTCCAGGTACGGTGACACCACCACCACCTCTCCAGGCAGCCCACTCCAATGTCCAGGCACCCTTCCTGTGAAGAAATTCTTCCTAATGTCCAACCCAAACCTCCCCTGGCACAGCTCTGCATCCTGTCACCCTACTGCTGGTTACCTGGGATAAGAGACCGACCCCCCGTTTTCCAATATAAAAACTCCTTTTTTTCTACCTACATATTAATTCTACGTTGAGCCCAAACAGGTCCCGACTCTTATCACACTCCTTCAAACCCCCCCCATTCGATCCCTATGCAGTACCACCTTATCTGCCACAAACCCCCGGGCAGGCCGTGCTGCCCTCACCGCGCCGCTCCCGGCCCGGTTACCCCGCCGGGATCCCCGCCCCGCTCACACTGGTTGTGCGTGGTGTGGTTCTTGGACTTGGCCATGGTCGCACCTGCGGGAGAAACACACACGGCTCAGCCGGGCCGGCTCCCGCACAGAGCCCGCCCGGCCCGAGCCCCGGTTACCGCCCCGCTCCGACAGCCCCGGCCCGGCCCGCGGATGGTGCCGGATGGGCGCGGATGGTGCCGGATGGGCGCGGATGGTGCCGGGGCCGCCCTCACCGGAGCCGAGCTCGCCGCCGCCGCCGGACCGGAAGAGAGAGAACACCGCAGGGGCTGCCGGGAATCAGGGCCGGGCCGGAACCCCGTGTCCTGCAGTTCCGCCCGGCACTTTCCCTGTTGCCTTCCCGAATCGCTGCTCTGTGCCCGCACCGCCCCGGCTCCCGCGGCCGCCGCTCCCGCACCGGCTCCGTGAGGGGCCCGAGGCCGCTCCCGACCTGGGAGGGCCCCGCCGCGGCGGGACCGCAACACCCAGCGACGTGGCGGACCCGGTCCTTCAGCAACGCGTTTCCCCCAGCAACACGGTTCCCAGCAACACGGTCCCCCCACTAACATGTCCCCTGACCATGGTCTCTGCCGGCCGGGGGCCGAGGGAGCCGGGGGCTGAGGGAGCCGAGGCCGCCTTGCTTGGCCCTGCCCGATCCCCGCGGGAGCCTGAGGCTCTCGGCCCCGTCGGAGTCCGGGCTCGGTTCATCTGCGCGTTCACCGCGCTTGGGCAGTGTATTCAGGCACAAACAGTGCTCCTCAAGGCGGGTTCACTCAATGCCGTTCATCTTTTATTTGTGTGAAGCACCAGGGGCTCGAACAGCTCTGTTGCTTTCAGACAGAAAGCTGTGCCACCTCGGTCACCCCCTGAACCCTCATGCCCAGCAAAGACCTGGCACAGTGCAGGTGTGTCGTGTTCTGATCATGTTGCCAGGTTAAAGTGTCACTCCTGCAAAAGACAAGGACTGAAGTTTGGTATTTCAGTCTGTGAAAGACACTGAAATGATGGCTGTGATGAGAAAATTTCCTCATTGAAAGGGTAGACATTATAATGGTTTGCCCAGCGTGGTGGTGGAGCCACCATCCCTGGAGGTGTCCAAGGAAAGACTGGATTTGTGGTTATGGATTGGGGCATCTCCCATGGAGAAGTGGCACAGGAATAAGTGGAACAAGGAAGGCCAAGCTTGCCCAACCCCCCTGGGGTTCTATCTCTTGACCAATTGCAGTATTTCTGGCCAAGGCTGCTGTGATTTTGAATGGGAACCTCTGAAAAATGAGCAGAAAAGACCCGGGCTCTGTGGGAACAGACTGCCACCTTTTGATGGCATTGCCTTTATTTTATAGTGAAAGGCACAAGTGAATTGTTTAAAGTAGCCCAGACTGAAAAAATAGCCCAGAGACCAAATGCCCCACAGCCAGTAGAGAGTGAACTGGACATTGTTTCAGTGGCTGATTGCTTGCAGAGCAATTGCTATTCTGCCCCAAGTTCAGATAGCTATAAACAAACTCTTCCTATTATAAAAGCAGGGGAAAATAGATTGTCCTTGGTAATGCCGATGAGAGTGAAATGAAAATAGGCAGGAAAAAGAAAGATAATACAATTCAATTTCCATATCTCTCTTATTTTGAGCAAGACCTAAGATGCAAAGTGTATTTGGCTTAATTTCCCAGCCCCACCCCTATTCTGGGCAGCTGTTTTGTAAAAATAGATTAAAATAACAATATTCTTTTACTGGCATTTTGCAGCTGGAATATGAAGGCCTGCTCAAAATCCTCCTTGATATGCAAACATCTGACTTTTTAAACTGTTGTTTTTTTAAATTCCTTCCACTGAAGAGAGCTCCAGTCTTAAAATATTTGTACATCACTGTGGCCAGCTAATTGCAGCCAACAGTAGAGAGAAGCCCTGACTCCTGATAACACAGAGAGCCAAGCTCAGTGGAAGACAGCACTGAATCCCAGAGGTGTGTTTGCCTCCACTGCATTTCAAAAGGCAGAAAGGCTGCCAGCCCCCTGAGCTTGGCCATTAGATTATCTCTAATCTCTTGATCTTTTTAACTAATTTCCGAACCTTCCTCCATAGAAAGAAACAGAAGGGTTTACTTTAGGGCTCTATCCATCCTTTCCAACTTTTTTCAGGGTCTTGCTGCAATTATTGCTGTTGGATCTCCCTGGGAGTCTTTCCCAGCTGCTGCTGGGGCCACTCAGATGAGCAGTCAGCCAGGTGGGGATTAGAGAAGCTGTGCTTAATGCCCACGTGATGACAAGATCCATAAGCCAAATTAATAAAACAAAACTGGAAAACATTCTGTTCATGGGGCTGAGTGTAACATATCCAGGGCAGTTTATAAATCACTACAAACCAGTGCAGAGAACAAGGTGAAAAGGAGGATCCAAGGCAGGACCAGGGCCTGTGTACACTGCTGGGTGATCAACCCCCTTGAATTTCTCCTGTTCCCTGATGAGCTGCTGTGCCTCTAATTGTGCTGCTACTGAGATCAATTGGCCAGTTCAAAACCTTTAGTCATGCTTCTAGTGATTACAGACTTAATTAGTGCACCTTAGCACAAGTGTCCTCTATTAAAGGAGCAGTGCTCATTGAATAGGATGGTAGTTACTCCAGCTGCAAAACAATGATGAAAAAGTCATAACACAAAAATCCCACAGTGCCTTTGACAGCTGTATCTTGGTCACTGTCCTTGCATCGTGCATACTCATGCTGTTTGATCTCTGGTCTGTCACGGTTTTCATGCTGCCACCCCATTTCAGCAGCCTCCCTCAGCTTGCCTGCTCCCTCCCTGTGAGGTGACTTTGCCCTGGGGTAAGGAATTTCTGGGGCTGCCCCCTTCAGTAATGCCAGGGACTGCCCACTGTCCAGCGTGGTGCCTGTGCCAGCTGAGCCAGGCTGAGTTTTACAGGGGCTCAAACAGAGGCTGGCTCTGGTCATTCCCCAAAACGTGAAGAAATTTCCTCCCCATTTCCATAGGAAGAAGACAAGGAAGGGCCATGTTCATGTAGGATGCTGGACACAGTGTGACAGCACAAGCTCCCCAGTGAGCACAAAACCAGTGCAGATCAGGAGTCCAGCTGACTTTGCTTGGCACAGACCCTACAAACTGCTCCCCAGTGGGGAGCCATTGAGCCGTGGGGAGAGTGCAGGGATGCTTCTGGCTATTCCTGATGGCTTACAGGGAGGATTCCTACCCTGGGCTGCTCGGGCACTTCAGCCATCCCCAGCCATCCCCACTCGCTCTGCGGACACCACCCAAGTGCAGCTGCAGCGTGCAGGGCTGTGCCTTGTCAGGGAGAGCACCCCGTGGGATATGGGCACCTTCACCCCCTCCTTCAGCCCCTCCTTCACCCCAGCGAGCTGACCAGGACTGGGCTGTCTGGCAGCTCCTCAGGAGTCCCTGCCCTGGCAGTGCCCGTGGCTTTGGGGCGATTTTAGGGCTGTTCCCAGCCTGAGAGCAAACAGGGCTCGTCTGTGCTGTGGAGCCGAGCGATGCCCGAGGGCAGCGAGTGCCATGGGAGAAATTCTCCGTGGGGACAAATGGCCGATACACGTCCAGAGAAGGCAGAACAGCGGGATAAGGAGGCACTAGAGGGAGCCTGAGCATAACAGATCCAGTTCCGGCTCCAAGTGGGAGAATTAGTCACGCTCAGGGAGAAGGGGCATCACCAGCCAGCAACAGCAAGTCTCACGCAGCAGTTTCCCCCTTGACCTGGCATCCTACCTGGCTGTGCCTTCCCCCCCCCCCGACATCTTTATCATTTCCTTGAAGGCATAAAGAAATGGTTTCGTTGATGGGAAGTGCCAGTCTACCAGCAGAGAGACAGCTGGCTCTGAGCATTTGGGATAGGAGGTGAGAAAAATCACTGGCAACTGGTGGCAATTGTCAGATGGGAGGGTGCAGGAGAAAAGGAATTCTTGCAAGTCAATGGAGAACAGAAGTGCTGATCCACAGCTGCAGATATCCCTGTGGGAAGGGGAGGTGTCACAGCCCAGCCTTGCCAAGTGTTCTTGGACTGATGGCAGGGACAAGGGAACAGTAGCTGAGGTTTGTGTCCCCCTCTGGTGCATTCCAGTTAGCACCAGTTAGGAGAGCTGAGGCACCAGAAGAGGCTGGACACCTGCATTCTTTTATTTTAATTTTGGATGTACCTGTTCCCAGTACATCTGAAAAGTGCATCTTCTTTTACAATGTTTTCAAGGGGCCAAAATTTTGTTTTTACAGGGTACTCAGGTACAGCTCAGTAGAAATCAGAGGAGATGAGTGAGCAGGGACCAGAAACAAATCCTTCATCACCCCTGGCTGCTGTTGGAGGCTTTCATTCTCCCCTCAAATCAGCCCAGACCCTAAAGACATATTGCACAAGTGTGTTCCTGTAAGCAGTTTCCTAGCATGAGGGCAGGATTTAAAATCAGGCAGCAGCCTGCAATGCAGCCCTGACCTTTCTCTCCAGGACTGCCACCTCCTCCCACTCTCCCTGGAGCTGGCACTACTAACAACTGGTTTCCTCTTGTTATTTTTCCACCTCCACTCCTTCCTCCAGAGGGGAGGCCGTGCTGGTGGCCCACGTAGCAGTGACTCACAGGCTGGGACCTGCAAGGAGCCAGCTGAGCCTGGCCAAACTTAGAAACATCTCATTTTCCATTGCCTACACCCTGGATGCTGCTTCTGGCAGGGTTCATCGCTGGAGACCTTCTCCAGCTACCTGTGGGGTTTGGGAGGATCAGCAGGAGCTGGGCTGAGATGGAGCAGCCCTTGATGTAGATAATTCCATCTTGGTCAGTGTTTATCCAGCTTGCTTATAGCCAAAACTGATGACATGTTCTGGCATTTCATGCTTGGGAAACATGTAAATAAGGGCATATATACAGGACTGCATGGTTGTTCCGTTTTTCTGGAAGCATTTGAATGATTTAAGGGGAGCTTAGAGGTTTAAAAGCTGATTCTCCATCTGTGTCAACCAGCCTGGTCATCCCTAAATCAAAAGATGACAATTGCAATCACATAACCGAGCCTGGGATACCGATGGCCTGCAAAGGTGGAGGTGGTTGGAAGCTGGGAATGAAGCAGCTGGGTGGTGACCGCAGTGGAGCAGCGGGGCAGGGAGATGCAGCTGCACCGGGAGGAGCAGGACCTGCAGCTCCGTGCGGGGACAGCGCCAGCAGGGGAGCAGCCGTGCGCGCTGCCCACGCTTGGTGCTGCTTTAACGGGATTTTCCAGAACATTTTTTGCCCCAGTGTCGGAAAGGGGAGCTGGCCTGCCGCTTCCGAAGGCTGGGGGAACGTGTGCAGGCGATGTGGCACCTGCTGAAGCCGCACTTGCGAGAGCCCGGCGGCTCCCGCGGAGGGAGCGGAGCCGCAGGCACCGAGCAGCTGATGGCTGCGGGGAGGAGGCACACGGAGGCGGCGGGGAGAAACGGAGAGGGCTGACCTAAATAGATGCTCAGCTAATTTATTCATTTCTCTGCTTTATTATTTAACACAACTTCGAAACAGCTCAGGACTTCTGGTTCCTCTCAGCTCTGCTGCTGACGTTGGGGATGGGGTTATTTTTTACCTGATTTTGCTGCCTTGCTCAGCAACCCCTCTCTCCCCACAGGCAGGCCAGGCACACTATGGGAAAGCTCCAAAACAACCACTTTCTAGCCCGGAGCACAGAAAGGACTTATTTAAAGTTATTTTGAGCTTTTGATTCACCTCCTGCTTAAGAAGCTGTTCGAATTTTGGCCTGCTTTACGCATTGCTAATAGGGAGATTTATCTCCAACTTAGCTGGCCGAGGAGGGGATTGGTGGGCTCATACAGCACGAGGCAGCCTTCAGCCTCCACTGACATCTTCCTCCAGGCAGGCTGCCAAAGGCAGCCCCAGGCTCTGCAGCACAGGGGCTTTCAAGGATAAACCTGGAGCCTGTCTTGCTTCCAGCCAGCCTCCTCTCTCCTCAAATCCTAGCAATCCCCTGAAACACTGTCCAGGAGGAATTTATTACTAGAAGGACACGGAGCCTCAGCTGCTGGGAGAGCTGTTCAGGTTGCAGTTCACTCCACGGGCTGCACGTGTCCTCTGCGAGCCCATGTCACGTTTTAGCACTGCTGAGCTTGAACAGCCACAAGCTGGGGGGAAAAAAAATAGATGCCTGTGCAGGTTGTCTGAACCCCTGCACCATTTCTGCGCAGGCACGAGGGACACGGGCAGAGCTGCTCCATATGAACCTTCCCAGGATTCAAATCATGCAGCATCCACCTTGTGCCAAGCAGGGCCCTTTAATTTTTCATTACAGTTTGTCACTTGATGTATGAAATTAGGCCAGTGTTGTATAGAGTTACCCAGCCCCTCTGTTGTGATTTTTAAACTGAATTAATTCATCAACCTGCTTGATTCCTTGCAGATTTCTAAGCAGTAAAATGAGCCCTGATGCTGTTTAGCTTGGCAGCAGGGGCATCTCAGCTCACCCGCCTTCACACTGCTGGAGAGTTTGGTGATATTGCTGGGAGTGGGATAGTGCAAAATAGCAGAAATGAAGCAGTCAAGGAGGCTGCAAGTTAAAGTCTTCCAAAGCAGCAGGCACTGAAGGGGAACAGTTGGGTGTGGGGCTAGGAAAGTAGGTGCTGCTTCCCTGCACATTCAGCTCCTTCTCTGCCCTCACTGGTTAAACTGGGGCAGGGTGAATACTGGGCAGGGTCCTGTGCTGGCAGCCCACAGGGTGTGCAGCCTGGCCCGTGTCAGGCTTTGATCTGAAGGGCTTTGTGGTAGCTGTTTTCAATATAAAGTGAGACTTTGGTCCCAGAGCCTTTCAAGGCCAAAAAGAATGAACGTGGAAAGGACAGAGGCAGCCCAAGTGATCTGAAGTTTCTCTTTCCCTCCCAATACCCTGGACTGGATTTTGGTGGGTGATGCCCCAGATTGCCTAATGAGGAAGAAGGGCCCTACATCCCACACCCTCTGGTTTTGTTCCTGGGGTTTTGTTCCCTGGCACCTTAATTGCACAGGGCTGATTAGGATGGAGTTAAGGGTAGCTGAGGGTCATGCTGGGATTTAGGCTCCCTCATGTGGGCACAGTTTCTGCCCTGCAAGGGGAGGGAAAATCCCTTAATGAACCAGAGTGGGCAGCAGGCTTGAGGTGAGGGCTCTGGTGTGCTACCAGCTCACCTTTATCTGCACAGGGAGGATTACTGGGAAGCCATGGTGATAAATGCTGTGGCTGAAAAGGAAAATGGACTTCCTCCCAGAGATGGTTTGTTTGTGCAAAGTAGAGAGAGAATAAAGAAGCTGCCAAAAAAACTGACATTAAACCCACTGCTTACCTGCAGCTCATCCCATTCCATGACTGAAACCTCTCATTTGCAGCCACCTAATCCAAGATATTCTTTCTGCAAAGCAAAAAAAAAGTAGGTTATTGCTCAAGCAGAGCTGGGGAGGGATAAAGAGACAAGCAGGGCCTGATCCTGCCAGGTTCTGTGTGTTCTGGCCTCTGAGCAGGGTTAAAACCCTGGGTAGCAGCCTGATTTGGGGGCTTTGGAAAGAGCTTGCACACAATCCCTTTCCACACCTTTAGGGAAAGGCTTGCCATGCTGCAGAGGCAGGGCTGGAGGCAGAGCATGGGGCTCCCAGCCCTGCCTTCAGTTCCTGCCTCTCTAACCCAGGCACCTGGTGGCAAGAAACACAAACCACAAATCCTCAGCACTCTTGAAGCACATCTCAAAGTGGGAGAGAATTAATGACCCTCCACAAAACTAGGGCTGCCCTTTCCCAGCCCTCCCCGCTTTCTTTTGGATGCATTACCTGCTCCAGCCACTGGGTCATCCCACCTTTGCCGGCATGTGGAGATGCTGCACACAGCCTTTGCTCAGCAGCAGTAAAATCCTCCTCTCTGCAGCACTGAGAGGATCTTGTGCTATTTCTTTTCCTGCCTTTAGATGTGCAGAAATCCACTTGGCTTTGTCTGCTGATTGATTTCAGCCCTGGTTTTTTACCAGGATCTTTTCAGGTCTTACTAATTAAGAAATCCTGTCCCCATTGAAACCACAAATGCAAACACCTGTTGGTGCCCCCTGCACCTTTTTGGGGCCCACTGCAGTTCACCCTCTCTTGGAAGGCTGCTTCTCACCCTGGGTGGCAGCAACAGAAGGTTCCACAAACACTGTCCTTGGATATTAAAGACATATATTACTGAGCTGCCCTTCCACAAAATCAGTGCAGAGAAATGACTGACACTGTCCTTTTTACATAATTCAAATGAAAATCTAATTGCACCACGGCTGCAGGGGAAGGGACTGGGGCTGGCAAACAGGTTTGGGGCAGAGTTCCCAGTTCCCGCCAAGGAGCAGTGAGGTGCAGGACACCACAGGGGCTGTGCCTGGGACACCTGACTGCTTTAAATAGTGCTTGTGCCCAACCTGTTCTGGAAATGGTGCTCTGATTTTTTAATATAAAAAAAATATAAGGCACTGATTATATCAGGCACTGATTTCAGCCTGATACCAGCTGCATCCCTATGACAAAATGGGCTTTATTAGGAAAATAATATGGGCTGTGGCAACACTTCCATTAGCCCTGCTGCCATCCCAGCCCCTGACAGCTGAGTACCAGAATAACTGAGCTGGTCCACACAGGAGAGATGCACTGGGACACAGGGCTGCCGGTGAAGGAGAAGCACAGCCCTCCCCTCTCGTATCAGCCTTGTCTCACTTGTGTTAGGGATGGCCTGATTTATGATTTGGCTTGCATTAAAACACATTTCCTTCCAGAGCACTTTTACTCAAGCTTTTCAAACACTTCATGAACCTAAATAAATCCTTAGGAAGTCTCTGGCAGGTGGACACCTTCAAATATCCTTGGCGCTCAGCAAATCTGATACATCCAGAGGGGATGGGGAGGGCTAAGATCTGGAGGCAGGTGAACTGCAAGTATTTTTCACTAGAGCTCCAAAACTGTAGCCTTAAGTGTTTTAGCATAAGACATCAAGTCACAATGACAGAGTGTCAGGGAGAGGATGCAGGACAGACCTCAGGAGTCCTTACTGTCTCCAGAATATCTCTCCTTTCCCCCATGTCTGCGTCATCATGCTGCCACCCCTTCAATTGCTGCAGAATCCTGAAAAATTAACAGCTAAAGGTTTTTCTTGCCTGCTCTGGCCACCTGAAACAACCTCCTGTTCGGGTGGAAGCACTGAAGTGTTTCTTAAAACAGCTCTTCCTCCTGTCATTAAATATTTAAGAGAGCAGCACCAGGGGAAACCATGAGCTTTTATGGAGGCAGGATGGCACAGTGCTGGGAACCACACGGAGCCCGATTTAAATAGTAATGAGATGGCAGCACAGCTCGGTTTTATCCTCCCCTTGCTCCCCCTCTCCCCGCAGCACCCCCGGCAGCGCGGCCCCGGCCCGCTGCATGCGGTGCGTGGGGTGGGCTGGCTGCGATGCCATCGGGCTCTGCCAGGGCGTCCCGGGCTGCAGATGTGCTGATGGAATCTCAATGACCTGGGAAGGCAGCGCTTGTCAGCACCGATGGGAACACAGCGGTGTCCGAGCCCCGGCCGCGGTGGGGCGGGAGCAGAGCGCGGAGCAGCCGCGGCTCGTCCCCGCCAGTCCCTTTGGCTCCCCCCTATCACTTTCCCTGCTCTGCCCTATTTTGGGGAGCGGAGGGTGCCAGAGGGAGGGTGTCTCCTCTCTCTGCAGTTGCTGTAGCAACTGCGGTGTCTCTGGCGGCAGAGCACACGTTTCTTGCAGCCAGCCCGAGTGTGAGCTGCTGAACTGAAAGCAGATTGATTTTCTTTCCCCTGCAAGAAAAAAAGCCGCCCTCTGCCCTCCCCACCCCCAGCAGGCAGAGCCCAAGAGGGCCAAAGATAGCACCTGGGCGCCAGCGCAGTGCCGAGCCGCAGGGATGCTGCCGCGTCTGGCTGCTCCCGGGAAATCTTCTGCACAGGAATCAAAGCCTCAGCCCCTTCTTGAAACCCTCCTCTGATCCCCCTCGGCTCCTTGGCAAGGACAAGCTGCCTTTCCCTAATCCAGGCTCCAAGGCAGGGTGGGTTGCTGCAGCCGTCCAGGCTCATCCCTGGGGCAACTCAGGCCTGAATTCATTTCCACATGAAACAGAGATTCTGCTTTGCTGGGGAGGGACCATTCGTGATCAAAACATTCTCAGAAGAGGAGGATCAGCATCAGCTTTGCAAAGTTACTTCCCTGGGTTATGATTTTTACATAGTAGAGCCCTTATCATGGACTGGATTCATTTGGTGCCCATTTCCTGCCACCTGATAAGACTTTGCCTTCTAAATCCCGTTACTCCCCCATTTCCATCACCTTTGCACATCACAAGCCCTGACCTGCCCTCTCTTCATTTTCTCTCTGAACCTAGAGGAACAGAGTTCCCTGAGCCAGCTCTGAGAATGCGCTGGTGCCACATCTCTGAGCCTCAGCTCCTTGGCCATTGCTGTTTGATCCCAAGGCACTGCTCCAGTGTCCCACCACTGTGTCAGGACCATTCTGTGGCCACTGCAGGAACCCATTCAGAGCCCATCAGCCTGGTCTGGGCTCCACTCTGAATATGTGACATCTCTTTTTTCCTTCACCACTGACTTCATCTTTGTTTCAAATAAAGCATATCTTGCTGGCCAAGGCATCCAGCAGTTCCCATCAGCAGGCAGCTGGAGGGACCAAGCAAGCAAAGTTTGGTGCTAAGGGTTCCATGTTGCTCATCACCCATGGCCCTGCTTGCATCTCCTTTGGGTTCATTGCAGAGTTCAGCCCTGGTCTTGCACAGATGCAGAGACCTGCCCTGATTTTCCAGAATGCCATAAGCTCTGATCCAGCCTTTTTACCACCTGCCTTTGGGATGGCTGACAGGGAGGGCAGGAATTGCAAGGAGAGCTGTTCTTCATGAGAGGGGGAGGCAAAAAAGGAGTGAGTTAGGTTTCCCATGCTCAGAGTCCACACTCTAAGCATTTCCTGGTGGGAACCAAATCTTCCTCCTGCAGGTGATCACCTGCACCACAAGATAAGAGAGGAGCAATGCTCAGGCAGGGGCTGTAGTAACCCAAAATAGGTTTTTTCCACTGTAATCATTACTTAAGGTGCCATTTCTAAGCCAGTGTTTTTGGGGCTGCAGCTGGAGCTTTATGTTCCCTGGGAAGTTTTCTTGAAGAACAGGTTGGCCAGTTGGGGAATGTTTCACTGCTATTTTCAGCCTGGGACGTTTTCCTTTTTCTTTTTTTTTTTTTTCAAAGTACAACAAAAAACCTGTCAACAAGTCACAAAAGAGTGATCTCAGTCTAAAATACGAGCCCTGGCACGGGAGGGCATTTGACTCAGAAGCCACTTCCCATCTTTGGAGGCTTGAAGTATGTTCCACTTCGTCATCCTGAAGGTCTTTGGGCACTTATAAAAACAGAGTTTATTTATCCACACTCAGAACAGCCTATCTATTATCTTGAAGGCTCAATTCAGAAAGTTTCTTCAGAAATTTATTGGTTTCATTCCTACCAGTCTGAACAGAAGTTTTCCACAAAGTCTGTCAAAATACAAATGTCTCAATTCCAATTTCCCTCGGTCTTTAGCAGGACATCACATTAATTGTGTTAAAAAGCACTTTTATTAGTTACTGAGAAAGCAGGAGTCTGGCAGCTCTTCTTGACCACGAGCTATTCACTTTTGTGAAGTCTCCTTTAACAGTGCTTTGATCCAAAGCAGTGGTTTTCTCCACCAGCAAATTCAGCAGTGCCTGGAGCCAAAGGGACCAGCTCCAGGCAACGATTATTGGCTGCAGGTTTGAAGGGCTCCTACTGCTGCCTGGGCAAAGCCTTTCTGTTCCTCTGGAGGCTTCTGACATCCCCATTGTGAGAGCAAACCCAGTGGGGGAGGCACGTGGTCAGCCCGAGCCAGGGAGACCCAGGAGCACGGGCAGAAATGCAGACAGGATGGGGGAGTTCCATCCCCACCTGGGACACTTCTGGGAGGGCTCAGTGAACCATCAAACTGTGCTTTAGTAGGAGTTTTGCTTCAGTCTAATTGTGCATGAGGCTGCTGCAGCCAAAACAGCCCAGCCTGGTGACAATGTGGCATCTACTTCACAAGGGAAAGTTGGCAGTGAAGAAAACAGCAATTCCCAGTGCTCCAAGGGGCAAGGAAATGATATTCCCCATCTGATCTCCATGGGATGCTCTGGGATTGCTCCTGCAAACATTCAGTCATTCTGGGGCTGTGTGAGCAGCCAGAAACCCAAATTTCCCACCTGCTGCCTTGCACCAGCCCTCCTGATGTCCCTGAGCCAACACCAGAGTGTGAGGAGTAGGATGGGCCCTCAGCACAGGAGACAATGCAGGATCCATGGAATTCCTGGGATGTAAGCATCACAGTGAGATACAGCTGGGCCATCAGCATTAAAGAGAAAGCAGCTCTGCTGCATATTTGCTATTGACTGTCCCATTCTAAACAAGGTGACAGACATTAAGTGGCGTCAAATAAAGCTGGACTTTAACTCATAGCACTTTTTTGAGCACCTCCAATGCCACTCCAAACTGAGTCCCTGCTTACACTTCAGCTCTGAAAATACTTCAAGGATTTCCAACACACACATTCAATCCCTGTGTGGAAGAAGGCAGTGCTCTGATAATTGAGACATTAATAGTGAAAGACTGAACAGGATTCCCTTGGCTGTCACAGCTTGGCTGCTGGGAGCTTATGAAAAGAAAATAAATAAACTGGGACTTGGTTGAAATAGCCAAGAGATTGAAACCTGGAGATCCCTGGAAGCAGCTGTGCTGGAAAGGAGCACGTGTAGAGGGTTGGAGGGTTACACAACCTCCCATGGTTGTGTAAATACCTCAGCACTGACATTGCAAGTTGCAAATGTTGTCAGGGCTGGCAGAATTGCACCCATCTGACTGCACCAGGACCTCCATAAACACTCTCACTCTGTCATCTTCCAGCCAGGCACGTCCAGATGCCCCCTGCAGAAGGATGGCCAGGACAGGCACAGGTGAGAGCCCAAGATCTGTGGGGAGCAGAGAACTCCCTGCAGAAATAGTTTGTTGGATGCTCAGGTATCTGTGGAGGGATCTGTCAGTCAGCAGAAACCCAGACAGGGGAGATTTCAGACAGGAGGAAAAGCTGTGCCCCCCAAAATGTGCAGCCCAG